ATATAAAGGATCTAAATTTAAATAAATCAGTAGGTGGAATTACACAGGTTGACCCAAGAAAATATTTGCTGCACCTAAAGCCACATGCAGCTTTAACATTTGCAGAAGAAGTGACCTCTGCACAAGGTAATGCTCTAGAGAAAACTTCGGCAGGGACAGCGGAGTCACTCAGATAAACAACACCAGCTGCTGCTCAGCAACAGGGACCAAAAAAAGAACTTTCACTCTGAAGAACAATAGTCATTTTAAGAAGTGCGTAGTGGTTACTGTGGCCTGCGTGAAACAACTCTGCAGTGACACTGTAAATGATCTGTATGTAATCTCTTTCTTATATTAATGATAAAACAGCTGTTGATTCACAGAAACAATTAGATTATGTTAAAAACATCTGTTTAACGGCATTCGATGACACAGAATTGTTTATATAGTTTTTATTATCATCACTCAAAAACCTTTCTCTTGAGTTTATTCAATTACAATAGTAGTAAGTTTAGACAATACTGTTTTGTCTGTACGGCAGATTTAGTTTTAGTTTAAATTGTTAATAACATGATGCAATACTTGGCTCGTTTTATCAGAAACCTACAAAAATGCTGCGTTAGATGTTCCTCATCAATTGTTAAGCCCTTTGAATCAGAATGCAAGCTTTTCTGATTCCAAATTTCCTCTGAGAGAGCACAGCAGTCCTATGAAAAGGAAATGAGTCTTGACCACGAGTTGTTTGCTACCAATTTCCACTTACACTGAAGCTTATGAGAACATCAACTGGAAAATTTGAGCTGTCTTCCATGGGGCCTTTCAATTCCAAAGCTCCTCCCCTCCACTATACAATCATCTGTGTTATTATCTCCAGAGCCTGGAGTGTTCAGATTACAGGGTTTTGTGTTGGAGCTTGTTGCAAGTCAGCCCAATGCAGTCTTTCTTTTCATCTGTGCAGTTGGTTTAAATGTCAGGAATGTGTTTCAAGCATCCAAGCAACATATAGACTCAGTGTGGCTCAGTTTGATTGTACTCTTTTGAATTGTGTCTCATTGCAACCAATTTCTTTATCTTACTATTAGATTTATCTAATATTGTAGCATTTTATATTGTGATGAAATGTAGAAGAATACTGTATGTCTCACACTGATGTAGGTAGATCAGATTTTGGCCGTAGGGTAAAAGTTTCCATATCCTCAAAAGACACAAACAACTTGGCTTTTCATCTGTGAAGATCCAAGAAAAAAGTCAGGTGGGGGTTTTGACAGTTCTCTTTTCTTGTTCCAGCAAGCCTGGGTATTTGTTAAGTATAAGCTGTGCTTTTAAGTGTTCTTTAGTGACAAAAGGACCTTCAATCTACCTGTCACATTGCTTAGTTCTGACAAAATTACTCACCACTCCACACAGCCAGCTAAGTTTAAATGAAATTCTCGTCTAAACAGGTTAAGATGTTCTCAACTTTGTTGTGAAATAAACTGGTTCTAACAACTTAAATTTGGTGACATCTTATATTGATACACTTCAGTTAGAGGGACACTTAGAAGGTGTGTAGTAATATAAAAAATTAGTTCGTTTTTTTAAGTTTACATTTAGAGACATGAAAAAAATACCAGATGGGTGACTTCAGAATCTCAAATTAATAACATTAATAACACTGGTATTTATTTTACAAAAAAAAGGTGAGTTGTGTGTGATAAATCAAAAACATTGTAATAAATACTCAAGTGTGAATACCGATTTAAAAAAAGTATTCGAGAGTGATAGATGTTTTTCCACACTACCCTTTATCTTATGTGCTTTAGCACAATAGCACTGATGAAAAACATCAGGGATAATACTGGAAAACCAATCATTTTAAAGAAGAGTCGTTTTAAATCAGTTTTTATCAAATTAAACAACCTTATAGTGTAAACACAAAGTAACATGATCAAAACAAAAGACTAATTTAGCCTGTCAATAACTGTACCTGCAAAAATCTTGAAGTTTTCATAAGCGAAAATTATTCACATTTGCCAAACTGAGACAGTAATGTGTTGTGTGTGGATGGACTCTTGTTGCTTTTATTTATAGCTTATAACAGAAACAATTGGGGAGTTGAGTTGTCTTGTGCTCTTAGCTCTCTGAAATGAGAAGTCATCCATTATTTAATAAATTTTTAGCACCAACAAAGGGAAAAAACGCTGAAAGCAGATAAAAACCCTAAGGCATAAACAGTTTGTTCCGCAGTGAGAAAACTCAGAGGTTAGGAAAGGATACACAACACTTTTACTCACGCTCGCCTTGGTTTTGTCTTTGCACAACAGAAGTAATGGTTTAAGATGTGACTAAAAAAAACTTTTTTATAGGAAAATATGGTTTCATTTTTTTGGAGAGATGAACAGTGACACATGGCTGAATTAATTTGTTACTCCACAAAAATTGCAGACACATTGCCATTTCGTCAGATGTGTAATTGTGGAATAACTGCTATTAATTCAACTGGCTGAAACTATTTTTCTTTGGTTTTGTCAAATCTTGCATTGTGCAGGCGTTTAATCAATGGTCAGTTTTGTGGTGCGGTACTTATTTTAGTAGAAGTAGTACCTTTTTTAAATTTAGGTTAGAAACAATCATTGCTTTGCTTGGGATGATATGCATGACCTGTGTTTTTTTTTATTATTGCTGATGAGGTTACAACACATATAGAAGCTGCTTCATTTGCTGTTTGTCATACTACAAAAGTAATTTCACTTTATATAGAGCTGTGATAATAATTTGGAGACTAGTCAATAGCTGTTTTGTTAATATTGAAATAAATTAAATCTATTTCACCATAAATGTCCTTGTTCAGAGTGTAGCACAATGACTTCTAGATGGGCACTAACAGATTGGTACTCTGAACAGAATCAAGTGGGTATAAAAATTGATGAATGTTACCCTATAAAAAACAGTAACTAGTGAGACATTCGACATGCAATGTATTGAAAAATTACACTAAGGGTAATGCAGTGAGTTGCCCAAGTTTGTGGTTTCTGTACTGACTCACTTAAGGTCTCGTTATCAGATGACCAACTTCAAATCTTGCTGACATGATTTGAGATGTTTTTTTTCTCATGAAACTCTGGGGCAGAAGTCTGGGTTAAAGCCCTCCCACTGTCCTCCCTCTGCAAAACATACTATAGTCTGACATTGACGGTTTTCCAAGGTTCCCTCTGCGTCCGATTTTGACGTGTCGGGTAACCCTGTCACGTCAGTTATTGACGAGATGGGGCGGAATCTGTTGTCTATTTTCAGGAAGTGTAGAAAATGTACAAAAACTACTGTTCCAAAGCCTGAAATTACCTTTATTCACTTTAGACATCCTGTCCCTGACCCTAGTACCTAAAATTAACCATTTTTAGAAAATGTAGGAAATTCACATCAACTACGTGTTCCAAAGCCTAAAATTACCTAATATTCACCATAGACATCCTATCCTTGACCCCAGTACCTAAACTTAACCATTAATCCTGATCCCTCATATTAACCTCAGACCCCGACCCAAAGACCCCTGGTGGCACAACCCGGAAAAGCCACGGGTGGCAAAGACTGACGCGAGGGGGTTACCCGACGCATCAAAATAAGACGCAGAAGGAAAAGCGTCAGTATGTTGATGAGTCGGAAGTGAGATTGTGTTAGTATGAGAGAAGAAAAGTACACTATTTCCATCATAAAACCACATCAGCTAGAAACAGTGTTTAATATCTCATGGATTATAAATCAGGTTTTTTCTTCCTTTGTTACTTAAGCTCCTCATCATTTATTGAAACCTTGAACAGACCTTAATGATGAATTCATGTCTGGTTAGTTAAACAGCATAATGCCAAACAAACACAATAACCTTTCAGGGATCCCTAAAGGACCCAAATCCACAGATTCTTCTTTGCACATTTGGCCTACAACGTTTTAATCTTCTACTTGTATAAAAGATAGTACAGACCAGCCCAGGTGTAGCTCATGTTGCAATTTTGGAGTCCCTTGTGCTTTGTAAGCATGTCTTGCAACTTAATGACAGTCTTGGGTTTCTTTTCTTGAAATTTGCCGTAACAAGTGTTGTGGTTCTTTATAGTCATCCTTGTTGTCTTTTTTTCGTCTGTATCACACCTGATTAGGGGAAATAGGTGATGAACTGCTGATATATAAGAAAAATAAATGGATTGCATTGGTGACTTTACACATCGTGTAATGCAGTACCAGCGAATGGTGAAGAGAGGACAGAATAAGGAGGGAAAAAGAAGCAGCTAGGTAGAAAAACAGGGTCAGCTCCAGTTTATATAACACTCCCATTACTGTGAGCTTGAGTGCAGCAACAGACGGTTGGGCTCACACCCATATGCGTCAGCTACACACACAAAATCATTGCTCCCCCTTAAAGAGTTTGTTCTAAAGTGAGTGAAACAAACATCAGGAGGAACAACAGTCTCATCTTGGGCAATCTTCCCTCCCATCTGTTAACGGTCTCAGGGCATAGAACAGGATCTTATTTAGCGGGGGCTTTCCAGCCTAAAGGCAGGTAGATGGAGTCTGACTGTGCATTATGGTAAAAGCTTCTGCACCCTCCTCTTGCTCACAGTCCTCTGTACTTCAGGGGGTACTGCCTGAGAACAAATGACAATAACACAACATGATGGTTCACTTTAGCCCTGAATAACTCATGTTCACTCAGCCTGTGTCTGCGCTCATACTCTCATTAGTCTTCGCTTCACAAAATCCTGGTGCATGTTGAAAAGGATTGAGAGAATCACTTCCTCTGTCAATTTTGGGGTACTGTTTAGTTAGTGTGGCCTAAATAGTCATTTCCCCAAAAAATGTGAGCAATTAAGTAGCTCAGGAAGTTAGAAGTCAAATTTGTTGCATTAATCAGTAATATGCCATTTCTCATTCCAAAACTTTCAATTTTAGAAGCAGATTTCATAAATGGCATACTTATAATTTATCAAATAACATAGCTAACAGGCCAAAATGTTATTGACTTTTCTGAGTTATTGTTTTTCAGGATTTTGTGGATCGTTCCAGCTGCTGAAGTCTCAAGTTGTCTTAAAATCCAGTGACAAAATGCCAAAACTATCATCACAACCCTGCAGGTATGCCAAAAATCTCAATTGGTACACAAACATTTATATTTTGAAGTTTATTTATAATGCACATAATTTTTCATTCAGGCTCTGAATCATGGGAAATGTTGAGAGCCAGAACGGGGATCATGTCCTCTACAGTAACCGACGTGGCTATTTGTCACGTAAGCACATGTCTCGGTCTCTTCGCATTTCCAACAAACAATCCAGACACTCGCCCCACGCTTCATCAGGAAAAATGGAGCACAGGAACTCTGAGACCAGCACACGCTCAAGTAGTACTCCCAGCATCCCACAATCCCTTGCAGACAATGGCTTGGAACCCTTCAATGAAACAAACATCCTCCACGATTTTGGAAGCCCCATTTGGGTGGATCGTGTGGCTATGAGTCTGCGGCCTGTATCCTTTCACAATGATCTGGCCAATCCCACAGTCCATATGAATACAATGCACATAACCCTGCCTGGCCCTACTGCAGAGGAACTGCATGATGAAGATATGTACACAAATGAGGTAAAATACCTTCAAAAGACCATGGACTGCTCCAAAGAAACTGTCAGTTTCAAAAAGAGGTCTAAATCTGCAGACACCTGGCGAGATGACAGCCTGGAATTCTCCCTGTCTGATGTCAGTCAGGATCACCTGACCAGCACTGAAGAGATCATTGACATGTCCAATGAGAGAGACTTCAACAACCGTGAAGGCCACCTGCAGTCCAGCCCTGCTGACTCTGCTGACAGGGCAAACTCGTTGGATGAGCTGTTCAGCAACACCAGTCCAGCCTGCAGGCAGCCCCATGGCCGTTATGCCAAGTGGCACGATGCCAACAGGTCTGTAAGGGAGAGCGAGGACGAGAAGATGTTATCTCCATCGGAGGAAGATGGGAACACCTACGGTGCATACACACTTCCCTGCCGACGTTCCCACTGCTTGTCTGAAGGCCTGAGCAGCCATCAAACCACCATATGTACTAGTATGCAGGGCAGAAGAGCACAGACTATACAGGTGAGATCAAGCCTGAGTTCCCAGTGAGCTCATATTTTATTCTGCTGTACACTACTTTGATATTAGTAATGTTTTCTTGTTCATTTGTTTTAATCTGGTATAAATGAAAATGAAAAGTGTTTGATATTCTTATTTAGGTTGAGGGTCAGAGATTTGAACTGTTAAAAGGATGTTCTGGCTCATTTATGTTTAGATAAAATGTGACAATTTGTGCAGATTTCTAATGCAACCAAGAAGCACTGCAGACTTCTGCCCAGGTCCCCCTTGAAAATGAGATCTGGATCTCAATGGGGTTTACCTGGTTAAATAAA